TCATCTACTTGATTTGAAAAATCGGGTACATTTAGCAATATAGCGGGTGAATTATGTTTATGATGTATATTACGATGTTATGATGAACTATATGCCTTTTTCCACTGAGTTGTTCAAAGCGTTTCTAATAGGGGTCCAATATATTGTGTCACATATACACAATTATGCATTGTGTCACATACACTCACCTAAAGGATTATTAGGAACACATACTAATACTGTGTTTGACTCCCTTTCGCCTTCAGAACTGCCTTAATTCTACGTGGCATTGATTCAACAAGGTGCTGAAAGCATTCTTTAGAAATGTTAGCCCATATTGATTAAATGTTGGCCCATATTGATAGGATAGCATCTTGCAGTTGATGGAGATTTGTGGGATGCACATCCAGGGCACGAAGCTCCCGTTCCACCAAATCCCAAAGATGCTCTATTGGGTTGAGATCTGGTGACTGTGGGGGCCATTTTAGTACAGTGAACTCATTGTCATGTTCAAGAAACCAATTTGAAATGATTCGAGCTTTGTGACATGGTGCATTATCCTGCTGGAAGTAGCCATCAGAGGATGGGTACATGGTGGCCATAAAGGGATGGACATGGTCAGAAACAATGCTCAGGTAGGCCGTGGCATTTAAACGATGCCTAATTGGCACTAAGGGGCCTAAAGTGTGCCAAGAAAACATCCCCCACACCATTACACCACCACCACCAGCCTGCACAGTGGTAACAAGGCATGACGGATCCATGTTCTCATTCTGTTTACGCCAAATTCTAACTCTACCATCTGAATGTCTCAACAGAAATCGAGACTCATCAGACCAGGCAACATTTTTCCAGTCTTCAACTGTCCAATTTTGGTGAGCTCTTGCAAATTGTAGCCTCTTTTTCCTATTTGTAGTGGAGATGAGTGGTACCCGGTGGGGTGTTCTGCTGTTGTAGCCCATCCGCCTCAAGGTTGTACGTGTTGTGGCTTCACAAATGCTTTGCTGCATACCTCGGTTGTAACGAGTGGTTATTTCAGTCAAAGTTGCTCTTCTATCAGCTTGAATCAGTCGGCCCATTCTCCTCTGACCTCTAGCATCAACAAGGCATTTTCGCCCACAGGACTGCCGCATACTGGATGTTTTTCCCTTTTCACACCATTCTTTGTAAACCCTAGAAATGGTTGTGCGTGAAAATCCCAGTAACTGAGCAGATTGTGAAATACTCAGACCGGCCCGTCTGGCACCAACAACCATGCCACGCTCAAAATTGCTTAAATCACCTTTCTTTCCCATTCTGACTTTCAGTTTGGAGTTCAGGAGATTGTCTTGACCAGGACCACACCCCTAAATGCATTGAAGCAACTGCCATGTGATTGGTTGATTAGATAATTGCATTAATGAGAAATTGAACAGGTGTTCCTAATAATCCTTTAGGTGAGTGTATATTCCAATATATTGTGTCACAATGTATCGCAATACAAAAATGCAACAATATGTATCATGGACAGTGACAATCTGTATTGTGTATAGTTCACCCATAACATCATAAACATCAAATCTCGCACCTGTTTGTGGTCGCCGTTGGCGTTTCATCCATCCCTCTGACGCTTCTTTCTGAAGAGTTTTGATTCTCCATGCCAAATATCCACTTCCATCTTCTTCATTGGTAATAATGCTCCTATGACCAGAACAATACACAGACCTAGTAGTTATACATTACACAACTAAGGAAATAAATGCCATATCAATTATAATGTAGATAATCTTTACTCTGCAATATACAGAGTATATCCTCCTCCTGTAAATCAAAAAGATTGAGAGGCAACAGCTACATAACCAAGCTTGCTCCTGGGGTCAGCCAAGCATGGGAATAGAGAGATGTTTCCCTTCGCATATGCTTCCTTTAAACGCCGGGAAGGGCTTGTTCTAAACACACACACACATAAACCAATTACAACCCATACCATCATGAACATCAATTTACAAATTACTGTATGAACAACCTACGAGCGTATTCGTTTATGACCTTCTCGCCTCCAGGGCTGCTCTTTAGGATATCTCCGATCATCTGGAGGGGGGAATGATGCAATGCAACATGACATCATGACTTTGCGTAAACATACACGCCACTTTCAAGTCAAGTGGCGTGTTATCTATACGCATTTTGAGCTATCCGCGTGTATGTCCACGCCGAAACGAACCGTCATTTTTTGCGTGTATGTCTACGCCATTAAATGTCAGAGTGATTCCGCGTGTATGTACACGCCGTTAAATGTCCGAGCGAAACGAAGCAAAATGTAGATCTACATCTGGGGAGCGATATTTTTTTTTCCTAGGATGGTAGGGGAAGACTCATAAATGGTATTAACCCCATTGACGGGTAGGTTTAGGGACGGGGTTGGGGTAGGTCATATATTTATATATACAGTAATATAACGTTAAGTCAACGGCGTTGATAAATATGTGTGTGTGATAAACATGATTTTTTGTGACCACAGAGAGTCAGGGCCTCGGTTTAACGTCTCATCCGAAGGACGGTGCTATTTGACAGTATAGTGTCCCCGTCACTATACTGGGGCGTTAGGACCCACACAGACCACAGGGTGAGCACCCCCTACTGGCCTCACTAACACCTCTTCCAGCAGCAACCTGGTTTTCTCAGGATATGCGTGTTGATAGCACGCCAAAAATGGAAATACGAATTGGCGTGTCATACATACGCCATTTCATGAGATCAGTCTGTGCAATATTGAGCAGAGATGACAAGTGTATATAGTTTCAAATATCTTTATTATTTAAGTCATTTTATATAGATGGCAAGATTGGAGATCCTTACTTGGGAAAGATGGCGTCCTGACGTGCCCTCAGTATCTGCTAATTATGAGTTTGAGCTTAAAGAATCTTCAATATAAACCATATCAATGGTCTGATTGATCTGTTCATACTACTTTGATAGCATGCTATACAGCTATTGAGAATTAGTCCAATAGACAAATTAGCATATGGAAATTGGTGAATATTGCTGATAATAAACAAAACTTGATAAGCATGTCAAACAATATACCATCAAGACTTGCTGTGTCTGGGATGAAGATTTCTAGGACTCAACGTCCGGTCGTGTCAGCAGATATTCGAATGCTTCCTCATCAACCTCTGTCTTCGAGTCATCAAAGACTTTAACATCCAATTTGAAGATCAAATTTCTTGGCAACTGAAGGAAGACAAACCATTGGCAAATTGACAAAGGCCAGCAATGACAAAGGAACTAAAACAGTTATTTTTATACCCCATACGATACAATCATACACTTATTATATTCCTATTGAAAATAACTTTCAGAGGGAAAAGTATTAATGGTATTAACAATGTTAAAGCTTGTTATCTCTCACCACATTACAAAATCGTCTGAAATGTAAAAGGTGTTCTTCAAATCTTTGCAATTCACTCTGACAACGTTGTTGGTTTGCATCCTGGAGGAACCAAAAAGACAAAGTTAAACATATGGCGATAACAGTCACAGTCAGATAAAAAAACAAACATTTGGTAACACTTCAGAATACTGTTCCGTCATTAATGAATAACTACACATGAACAAATGAGTAACGCATTATTAACACTCTAGTAACTACTATCAACTAACAAGAAACTTTGGATAATGAATTAGTAAGTAATAGTGCACAATTAAATTGGTTGTTAGCTAATCAGTAACTACTACTTTTTTCATTCCTCCCTGAGGACTAAGAACTACTGTATACAGGTTCATAATTAATGTGCATAATGTCCCCAGGAACTAGGGACTTTGGGGTGGTACTCTGTGTGTTTCTAAATGAAGTTCCGGGTAAAAATTTCTCCCTCAGAAAGTCCCTGCTTGCGAGGTAGTACTTTTTCCAAGTTCAGGAACTTTTGGGGGTGGGACTTGGGCGCTGAACATGCTGATTGGTTGAGTTCATGCCGCATTTTATTCCGTCCACCATTTTTTAAAATCTGTTGCGTTGCGTGCAGTAAGAGTTGTTTGCTATTCGAATCAACAATGGAGTTAAAAAAAATACGACAGATGGAACGACGACGAGGTTCAGGCTTTTTTTTAGCTTAAATTCAGAAGGTGAAATCCAGCGGGAACTGTAAAGTAGCGCGCAGTCCTACGTCACTCACCGGACTAATTTGCCTAATCTCCACGGTACTTTAGACCTCGATGGAAACGCAGACAGCAACAGGGGGAAAAAAGCTCCTGGGAAAAAAGTTCCTGGGACAAATCGTTTTTCGGTGGAAACGCAGCTTATTTAATTGAGCATAAGTTCCACTATTACACTAAAATACAGTTGTTGTTGTTTCAGCAATGCAATAGAATAACAATTTTTGGAACCTCAAGTAGCTTTTGGTGAACAATTCACTTTTTTTCTTACATTTGAGTAATCTAAAGAATCTTTTTCCACTATAAAGAACCTTTGTAGCATGGAAAGGTTCTATGGATGCTAAAGTTTCTTCATGGAACCAATGCCAATAAAGCCTTAAAACATTTATTTGTAAGTCAATTATTTAGTACAAATTCTCCAAAATAATACTATAGTAATAAGGAAAGTGCAATTAATTTCCTTACACCTCTGCCCTATTTACAGACATACTAGATGCTTTTATGGCGCTGATTTATGGTATTATAAACTTGTATGTTCTCATATCGCATTTTGATCATTTATTTAATAAAGCACATTACCTAACTTTAGTGAAAAGCAAAACACCTGTAATGTTCCTGCACAGTGTATTGAGAGATTCCTCACTGTGTGCTTGTAACAACTTTACAAAAAAAAACCCCCCGAAAACTCCCCCACAACACCGCAGGGCCAAATCTTTATAGCCATTTTGGCTTAAACTTTTGCATAGTTCCTATACCATATAATCAGTGCTAGAAACCACAGTGTGCTGCTTGTTTTGACTTGAGCGTGCATTTAATGAAGGTAGTCTGTTTAATGTTTGGATGTCAGGACAGTCATATATAAAGCTCTCTCTGAGAGTGTTGAGTGCACAGCAGACATGGGGAATCTCTGGCTGGGTCTCTTCACTCTGCTGCAGTCTGCTGTCCTGTACGCCTCCCCGGTGCAGACTGTAGGACTGTCCAGCCATGGCCACCTGGAGTTTGCAAAGGTAATTAAGGAAAAACCACCTATATATAAAATATTCAAATGCAGTTTTAAGAAGAAACTCTGAATGGTGCTTGTCTGTGCAAAACTGCACCAGCACAATGCTTTGTTGTGAGTGTTGCTATTTGAATGTGCAGGTGTTTGCAGGTCTTTCCTTCAAGTTATATAGATAAAAGCATCTAAATGGCTTGTCACTTGTTGTTTAAGTTTAATGTAAGACCAAATATTCACTATAGGGTTCAAATCTGGACTCTGACCAGGCCAAAACATGAGCCCGATGGACTTATAATAATAATAATTCATTGCGTTTATATAGCGCTTTTCTCGGCACTCAAAGCGCTTTACATAGAAGGGGGAATCTCCTCAACCACCACCAATGTGCAGCATCACCTGGATGATGCGACGGCAGCCATATTGCGCCAGAACGCCCACCACACACCAGCTTACTGGTGGAGAGGAGACAGAGTGATGAAGCCAATTGGTATATATATGGGTTAGGAGGCCATGATGGACAGAGCCCACTGGGATTTTTTGTGACCACAGAGAGTCAGGGCTTCGGTTTAACGTCTCATCCGAAGGACGGTGCTATTTGACAGTATAGTGTCCCCGTCACTATACTGGGGCGTTAGGACCCACACAGACCACAGGGTGAGCACCCCCTACTGGCCTCACTAACACCTCTTCCAGCAGCAACCTGGTTTTCTCAGGAGGTCTCCCATCCAGGTACTAACCAGGCTCAGCCCTGCTTAGCTTTAGTGGGCAACCAGTCTTGGGCTACAGGGTGATATGGCTGCTGGCTGACTTGTTCTCAAGCCACTTCTTGGTTATCTTTGCAATTTGAGTACGAGCATTGTCTTGTTGATAAATAACATCTGATCATTTCTCTAGAAGCAAGCCATTCTGCAATATTCTCCTGTAGTCAAAATCATTAAATGCCTTTTCACAGTGAAGTAGCGCACCAATACCAGCAGCTAAAAAGTCTCCCCACACAATGACACTCTTCTTCCATGCTTCACTGTGCTGCATTTATTATTATATTTCTCAGCAGATTTTCAAAGACCGCTCTGTAGCATCAGCATTTACTCATGTTTCATTATGATTCATTACTCCACACACAACTTCCCATATTCTACCAAAAATTCATTCTGTCTTTGATGTTAGACAGCAATGGCTTTTTAAGTAGTGTATTTGCTTACATTTAATTCCCTGACCAATAATTTGTGGTTAAGACACTTAAAAGCTTAGTGTTTAGCCATTTTAGGCTTGGTCTGAATAATTAAGTAAAATTGCAAAACATATTATGCAACTACAGTAAATGTTATTCCTCTGAATGTTTGGAAAGCTGCTAATTCATTCATTCGGATATGATAACAGAAAAAAATGCTAAATGTTAATGAATTAGCTGAATGGTTAATTTTTCAGATTAAGCTTTACTGAATATTTCCATCAGTTTCATCCATAAAGTCTTGATCTTTTGCTTTGTAATGCAGGAAGATGTATATGATGTCACATGATGTTTCAGAACAATTCATTTGTGACTTTACGCTTCACCACAGTATCCTAACAAACTAAGGGAAGTCAGTGTGCAATCATGGCAACTTCCACTATTCGAGTCTATCAACAACAGCTGTGTCGCTGTGTGAAAATTCGGATGTGGTGATTTGCGTAAACACATTGAGCTGTCGATGATGGTGACTTTTTATAAGTGTATAATTGCGTAAAGAAAGAGCATGATTCAAAACACACTGATGTAGTAGTACAGTGCACATGAATGGGCAGACTACTAAAGTTTCTGTGCTTGTCTTAAAATTATTTTCAAGTCTATACATTTAGAGTAGTTTGGCTAAAGGGTATGTTTTCTCAGCATAAAATAAAAGCGGTATTTATATGTGGCGATGTCCTTTCCTGCACAGTGGTGGAACTCTTGCAACGATTACAGTAAACCCTTTGGGCAACAGACTCTTTGTGAGTGATATTACGTAATTCAAACTGTTTTGAAATCCTTTCAGCTTTAATTTGGGGAATCCACGAAAGCCAAATGTATCTCAACTAGAACGATGAACCTATGATGGTGCATGTGACTTTGTGGTTAAACATCATGACTAGCTTAAATATGTGGTCTTATATGTTGCTGGGCGTTTCTAGGGTGTTCTGGGTGGTTGCTACAACCAAAACCCCACATGAAAAAATACTATATTGTATTAATATACAATAACACTGTATTTTATAGTAAATCTATTACAGTACCTGCATGCCAAAAAAGTCTCTTATGCTCAAGTCTGCATGTATTTAATCAAAAATAGTAATATTGTGAAATATTTTCACAAATTAAAAGAACTGTTTTCTATTTGAATATATTTTAAAATGTCATTTATTCCTGTTACGGCAAAGCTGAATTTTCTGCATCATTACTCCAGTGATCCTTCAGAAATCATTCTAGTATGCTGATTTGCGGCTCAAGTAACACAAAATCCAAGAAATCAGATCTATAATTTTGCCAACCAGTGTTAAATGCTGGGCATGACTTTATAAACCTACATGATAACATCAACAAGTAAAACCTTAATAAATGATTCCAATAAATGACATGTTTTTAATTGTGCATGGTCAGGCACAAGTCACGGCATCTTGCATGTATTCGAATCAAAAGGGAGCGACTTCAGTGAATGAAATGAATCAGTGCATGGAAGCAAATGAGAGTGATTCGTTTACTTAAATGATTTGAAGTTGGCTTGTTTGTTGTCTTGGAGTTTATGCAATGTCTTTTTACTTAAATGGGTTTGGATGAAACAGGTTTATCTGGGAAAATTCTACAACTACAAACCTGTAACTGGCCGACGGAGGCGTGCAGCAGGGCCTGACCCGTTCCAGGTCAAACTGAGGGAGATGCAACACTTCTTTGGCTTGGAAGAGAGTGGAGATGTGGATCCACAGACCGTAGCAGCCATGAGAAGAGCTCGCTGTGGTCTATCTGATGCTGAGCAGTTCAGAAAGACAATGCGATGGACAAACAGGACCCTAACATACAGGTGAGGTTCAGTGTACTCTCCCAGCAGAACCCACAGCGTGATGGCTCATAATTTCATATTTTCTGTGCGCAGAATCTCCAAGTACAGCTCAAAGATTACAGTTGCCCAGGTCAGGACAGCATTCAGACAGGCATGGAAACTTTGGGCTCAAGCAGTGCCCTTGAAATTCCGACAAAAGAAAAGGAGTGATGCTGACATCGTCATTTCCTTCAATAACAAAGGTGGGGGAGAAAAGCTGAACTTCAAAATTATGGAGCTGAGTAATAGTCATATGTATGTGTGTGTGTGTGTGGTTCTGATAAACCCTTTGTTTTGGGGACAAAATATCCTAAATCCTTGTCCCTATTGGGGATTTTTCTTTGCCCCCATGAAAAAAACAGCTTATAAATCATACTAAGGAAAGTTTTTTGAAAATGTAAAAATGCAGAAAGTTTTCTGTGATGGGTAGGGTTAGGGGATAGAGTATACAGTTTGTAGTACAGTATAAAAATCATTATGTCTGTGGAAAAAGTCCCCATAAAACATGGAAACCCAACGTGTGTGTGTATATGTGTGTGTTTTCAGGGAGTGTAACCCTAAATTAAAAATAAAGTAGTTGATAAAGTTAATAGTACAGCTGTAAAATCATTGTGGGATCTCCTTCAAACGTGTATAAAGCTCTCAGAATATTTGTGTCATTTAGTTACAATGGACTCGCATATTAACACAATTTTACAACAGTAAAACTAAAAATAGTGGCGCTATTAAAGGAGTTATACTCTGGCTATTTGAAAACTGAAGCCACGTGTAAAATTGTCTGAAGATAACAAAAATAATCTTTATCAGATAACAAAATACAACGTATTAGATATACAAATTATGTATGAGTTTTTTTGTGTATTTAATATTAATGTATTAATACATTGTGTATACATGTGTGTAGATGCATATCTTTAAAATATAAAATTCATTTACATATTAAGAACTATTTTATTTTAATATAATTATTATTTTAAAGAACATTAATAAAAACTAGTGCTGTCAAATCGATTAATCGCATCTAACATAACAGTTTGTGTTTACATAATATGTGTGTGTGTGTGTGTGTGTGTGTGTGTGTGTGTGTGTGTGTGTGTGTGTGTGTGTGTGTGTGTGTGTGTGTGTGTGTGTGTGCGTGTCTGTGTATATGTACATATACACATATATACTGTATATATATACAGGTCCTTCTCAAAAAATTAGCATATTGTGATAAAGTTCAATATTTTCCATAATGTAATGATAAAACTTAAACTTTCATATATTTTAGATTCATTGCACACCAACTGAAATATTTCAGGTCTTTTATTGTTTTAATACTGATGATTTTGGCATACAGCTCATGAAAACCCAAAATTCCTGTCTCAAAAAATTAGCATATTTCATCCGACCAATAAAAGAAGTTTTTTTAATACAAAAAAAAAAGTCAACCTTCAAATTATTATGTTCAGTTATGCACTCAATAGTCAATACTTGGTCGGGAATCCTTTTGCAGAAATGACTGCTTCAATGCGGCGTGGCATGGAGGCAATCAGCCTGTGGCACTGCTGAGGTGTTATGGAGGCCCAGGATGCTTCGATAGCGGCCTTAAGCTCATCCAGAGTGTTGGGTCTTGCGTCTCTCAACTTTCTCTTCACAATATCCCACAGATTCTCTATGGGGTTCAGGTCAGGAGAGTTGGCAGGCCAATTGAGCACAGTAATACCATGGTCAGTAAACCATTTACCAGTGGTTTTGGCACTGTGAGCAGGTGCCAGGTCGTGCTGAAAAATAAAATCTTCATCTCCATAAAGCTTTTCAGCAGATAGAAGCATGAAGTGCTCCAAAATCTCCTGATAGCTAGCTGCATTGACCCTGCCCTTGATAAAACACAGTGCACCAACACCAGCAGCTGACATCAGACCATCACTGACTGTGGGTACTTGACACTGGACTTCAGGCATTTTGGCATTTCCTTCTCCCCAGTCTTCCTCCAGACTCTGGCACCTTGATTTCCGAATGACATGCAAAACTGAGCAACAGTCCAGTGCTGCTTCTCTGTAGCCCAGGTCAGGCGCTTCTGCCGCTGTTTCTGGTTCAAAAGTGGCTTGACCTGGGGAATGCGGCACCTGTAGTCCATTTCCTGCACACGCCTGTGCACGGTGGCTCTGGATGTTTCTACTCCAGACTCAATCCACTGCTTCCGCAGGTCCCCCAAGGTCTGGAATCGGTCCTTCTCCACAATCTTCCTCAGGGTCCGGTCACCTCTTCTCGTTGTGCAGCGTTTTTTGCCACACTTTTTCCTTCCCACATACTTCCCACTGAGGTGCCTTGATACAGCACTCTGGGAACAGCCTATTTGTTCAGAAATTTCTTTCTGTCTTACCCTCTTGCTTGAGGGTGTCAATGATGGCCTTCTGGACAGCAGTCAGGTTGGCAGTCTTACCCATGATTGCGGTTTTGAGTAATGAAACAGGCTGGGAGTTTTTAAAAGCCTCAGGAATCTTTTGCAGGTGTTTAGAGTTAATTAGTTGATTCAGATGATTAGGTTAATAGGTCGTTTAGAGACCCTTTTCATGATATGCTAATTTTTTGAGAGGAATTTTGGGTTTTCATGAGCTGTATGCCAAAATCATCAGTATTAAAACAATAAAAGACCTGAAATATTTCAGTTGGTGTGCAATGAATCTAAAATATATGAAAGTTTAATTTTTATCATTACATTATGGAAAATAATGAACTTTATCACAATATGCTAATTTTTTGAGAAGGACCTGTGTATATATATATAGAGAGGGAGAGAATGGGAACTCAGAACACTAACGTGTCGTGTGGCACTTATGGCAGATCATGAAGATGGGTCACCATTTGATGGTGAGGGAGGCATCCTGGCGCATGCCTTCTTCCCTGGGCCTGGCATTGGTGGTGATGTGCACTTCGATGATGAAGAGGCCTGGACAACAAATGCCACTGGTAATAAAGGAAGAAGACAGTTGCAACATCTTTTGTTCACTGATAGAAGTAAAGGTGGAATGCCCTTTCACATGACTCGTGTCAATGTTACTTGTGCGTTTGAAGCTCTGACACAATCATGTTAATGCATTTGCTTAGTAAATTGCAGATTTGAGCTATACACTAAGAGTCCACAATTGACAGGTTTCTGCTTTGTTAATGTATACTCAAAATGTTTTCTGTGCTTACATGACGGGTGATGAAACCTGTGCATCTCCTTAAGGCTGTAACCTCCTCGCTGTGGCGGTGCATGAGTTTGGACATGCTCTCGGCCTTCCACATTCATCAGATCCTGGAGCCATCATGTTCCCGGCCTATAATTTTGGCTTGCACTCTGTTTTGCAGCTGTCTTTCCAGGACGTCAAAGATATACAGGAAATGTATGGTATGGTATGTCTGGGAATATTCTGTCACACTTGAGATATTCAAAAAGAAATGCAAGAACATGCATCTCTATTTTCAGTGTTGGGAAACTGTTAAGTTAAGATGTAGTATGTGTAGACAGTTGTTAAATTAGACACTAGCTATACTGTTCTGAAAATGAGTACAGAAAATGTATGCTAAAGTCAAATCAAAACTAATTTATTTAATCGAGTCATGAACCGTCTGAACAAATCCATTCTCTAGAATGAATCAAATTTCAAAAGATACATTTGATGGGATTGTGATTCATCCAAAAGAATTGATCTTTTGTTCATTTATTCTTCATGCAGGTGTTATGCCAGTTCTTTATTCTCAAAAGAAAAGAAAAACTTTTAATTCTGTATTAAAAATGATGTGTATCTACAAATATAGAACACGACTACAAAATAACAGCCTATAATAAATAACCTAATTTTAAATTGTGGTGATGCACACGCTCAGCACCCGCCAGTGACCGAAATATGAATCAGTGCATGCATGGAAGTCAACTAGAACGATTCGTTCACTTAAAATCTTAATTCACAAACGAAAATAAATTTTTTGTTTGGCTCATAAGTTGCAGCGAAGTAATGTTAGCTTGTTACTAAAGCCACATTACTTTGAAAATATCCGAGTCAAGCCGACATAAAAAAGTAGTTCGGTTAGTAGCCTAGAGTTGCTATTAGTTAGTTGGAGAGAGGCCATTCACAGAGAATGCGCTTTCTTTGCACTGTGAGGCACAGATTAGTGGAATGAAAAAAATGCAAGGCCTAGAGATGCGCTTTTTAAATTTAGCGCCGCGTTTTTAGAACCCTGTCATGCGCGAGAGATGCTGCTGCAAAATACGCCAGCGCAACGGTCAAGCAAGTCAATCAACCGCGTTTACATTCAAATAAAAAGTAGCGCAGTGGAATGGAAAAAACGCTTTGTATGTTTACCTTTTCTTTACTTCCAAAGGTAAGAGGGCATTAAGTTTGGACAGACATCCTCCGAAAACACCAGATAAATGTGATCCTACGCTGTCATTCGACGCTGTGACAGGCATGCAACAGGAGCTAGTTTTCTTTAAAAACAGGTAACGTTAGTCTGGCTCCATATGTGTAAAAAAAAATTCTCATTAAAAAAAGCACTCATTAATCGTTGCACTACTACTGTGTCTAACTTGACTAATACGCCTGTTGCAGGTTTATTTGGCGGGTACATCCCAGCTTTGAGAAAATAGGAATCACACTAATCACAAGTTTGTGGCCTGAACTTCCAGCTCACATAGATGCTGCCTATGAGAACACAAACCACAACAGCATGCTAGTTTTCAAAGGTGAGGTGTTCATAGCTCAACTTCATCATAAAGAACTGTTTCACCTAAAACTAGTAGTTTCATTCCATGTTGTGTCTCACACAGGCTCTCAATTCTGGGAGGTTAGCTCTCTCAAAGTAAAGCATGGCTATCCAAGAAACATCTCAGAATTTACATTCCCATCCACTGTTGGGAGCATCGATGCGGCCTTGTATTTCCGAGAAACACGCCTCACTGATTTCTTCATTGGAGGAGAATGCTGGAGGTACAAGAAATTGAACAAATTCTCTCTAACAGCTATTGATAATTAACAATGGCTTTTGCCAAGCACTTAAATCTCTATTTGAAGGATGTGTTTGTGTTTTCTGCTTTGTGAAGGTTTAATGAAGATGCAGGACAGATGATGGAAGGCTTTCCCAAGCCTATCGCTCATGAATGGCCAGGAATTGACTCTCCTGTAGATGCTGCAGTGGCCCATAATGGTTGGTATCACCTGTGGAACCAATCCCACACAAACTCACCGTGACAAATTTAATTTGCAATTTAAAAACCTTAGTGACCGTTTCTACACATTTTTGGCCGTTCATTTACACGACAACAGCGTTTTGGGGGCCTGAAAAGGCAAACTGAGAATGAGGTTCAATACCGTGACCGTCTCCGTGTAAACTAAAAAAATAGCAATTTGTGAAAAAGGTGACTTCGTGCACATGCGTATTACGTGGATATTTTGCGGATCGGTGTGAACAGGGATCGTTTTGACAACGGTGTCGTCTGTACGCAAAAAAACACAAAGGAAAAACGTTCCCATATTTAGTACATTAATGTTGTGCAAACGGACCCTGAGTTTCTGCAAAAAAAAAAAAAAAATGTAATGGTTTATATTTCACAATTCAGATGCAATCCTGAGTTTGCATCTATATAAATTCGATATAAGAAAAATCCACAGTGACCCAAATCAGCAGGCTACATATTGTATTTTTTCCCTTACTATCTTTTCTTTATGAAATAAAATGTATCTTGTTATAAGAATTTTGTGTTATTTTAACTGCAAAATTATAAAAATAAAAATTGTTTTGCAATATACAGTAGATAGATTTTTTTCAAATGCATGTTTGATACTGAAGCGTAAGAAAAATAAAGAAATGTGATGATAGTGAAAAAGAATTGTATATATTTTTATCTTTATTGTTTAATTATTCCACAAAAAAAATACACCATGAGTAAAACTTTCTTTAAAAAAAATATTCTGTGACCCAAATCTGCAAATAATATAAGTCATGATATATAGTGCCTTTTTTTCCCAGAGAAAAACAATGAGTTTTTCTATATTTTAACCAGCAATTTTAAGCCAAACTGAGGCAATATTTTCACACCTTTCAATATTTTTCTTTATTTTTGTCTAGGACGTGTGTATTTCTTCGTAGGACCTCATCAACTGGAATTCGACCCTGAAATCAGACAAGTAACTAAGAGAATGGCCGCAAACACATGGCTTCAGTGCTGAGAAATAACAGGCAGTTGATCAGCAGCACCACACCATCTATGGTGATCGGAACCAAATTGTGAATTATTTTGTTGCGTCAACCTTGTCCGGCTTGATGGTTTCCACATTATTCAAGTTTTTCATTAAAGGAATAGTTTAGCATTGAATAGTGTCCCGGGATTTTGAAGCTCCAAAAAGCGCATCCATCTATCATGAAAGTAATCCACACGAAGTGATGGGTTTTTGTAAAAAAAAGAAGAAAAAATCATATTTAAACTGTTATAAGCTATAACCACTGGCTTCAGCCGTTCGCGCGTTCACGAGAGAGTCGAGTTCCAGCGGAAGGGTGACCTCTGACCTGATATAAGCTCCTCTTTTCTTATATCGAAATCCTCTGACAATTTTCTTTAAAACTTCTTGTTTAATACTTCTTTTTCGTGACCTGCGTTTTGTTTCGCTCTATCCTCTGCACTTCCGTGTTCGTCAATTCTCACCTAAGCTTACGCTACGCCTACGTCATACGTCCAGTCGGAGGTCACCCTAATGCCGAGTTCACACTGAACCATTTTAGGCCTGATTTTCGTTTTTGTGAGATCGCTGATAAATGCCTGAAATCATAGGCAAATCGGTGCTCATTCACGCGAGTGACAATCACGCAGTGTGAATTATCAAAGACGCGATCTGAGAGAATCGTAGATCGGCGATGACCAACAGCCAATGAGAGAGCAAGATTCAGGGCAGCGGGATGATCGGGGAGGAGTTATAGACCAGAATATCAGTATTTTAATTGCATAATCTGTTTTTTTTTTCTCCTTTTCGCTGCAAATCAGTGCACAGACAATTTGGATCACAATCTTCTTGCAGGCTATCATTTTTAATTTCAGTCTCGCGCGAGAACTCCGGTCTAACGCTCGCGTGATCTTGCGTTATTTCCTTATCACCTCTCGCGTGTGTTTGGTTGTGAAACGTAGTTTGCGGACCAGACAGAAGTTGTCGGCAAATCTTTCTTTTGTAAAGTCATGCAGTGTGAAACCCCTGTCGCCGATCCATCTTGCTGTGTGAACACAGCAGCAACTGAATGCTACCCCAGATAGCCGTGCAGTGTGAAAAGAACAGTGACCCGACTACTTTGAAAATCGTGCAGTGTGAACTCTGCACAACGCGCTTACGGCCGTTGCTGAAAGCCAGTGATTATAGTTCACGAAGTTTTTAAATATGGATATTTTTCTTACAAAAACCCATCACTTCACTTCAGAAGGCATTTATTAACCCACTGGAGTCATATGGATTACTTTTATGATGGATGGATGCATTTTTTGGAGCTTCAAGCTTGGGCACTATTCAATGCCATTACAAATCTGGGAAGAGCCAAGATATTTTTCAATATATCTCTGATTGCGTTTGGCTGAAAGAAGAAAGTCATATACACCTAGGATGGCTTGAGGGTGAATAAATTATTGGATAATTTACATTTTTTTGTGAACTCTTCCTTTAAATGCTTTTGAAATGAATTGCCTCAGCTGTATATGACAAGCTGAGTGATGATGAAAGCGTGTATGTGTACACATTTGGTCTAATGTAGCTTTTCATGTGTCTGAATCCAACTTCCCCAAAATATACAGTGTTGTCTTTCTTTAATTAGTGCATGGCATCCTGTATGTTGTTCTATAATTTGTAAATTAGTTCATACTTCTAACTAACGTTTTAAAATCCATTAGAACCAAAACCATTTTAAACTGCCTGATGTAGTTTTGTACATAAATCTAGTTCATTAATTTAGCTTAGTTTTAGTACATGATGAATCTGCAAAGAGAGCACAGTTCTAAACTGACAATGATCAAAAATATGCTAATGTACTAAAATTAAACTAAAATAATAAATTAGCTTGATGAACAAAACTGTATTAGGAAGTTTAGAACTTGTTTGGTTCTAATGGAATCTATTTTAAAGCATTAGTTAGAAGAAGTTAGAATAACTCATTAAAGAAAGACAACACTGTATCTTTTTTGGAAAGTTGGATTCAGACACAAAAAATGGACCATTTAATTGTAAACATGTGCCTAGAAAAACCATACATATTGATATTTCACCATAATGAACTGAAGAAGGTACTCAAATCACCAATGATAATCTTTATATAAAATAAGCCCACAATACATTAGTGTTGCCTTAATAGGTAGAAACACTGTCATGAAATAGTTTCAAACCAGTCTAATCTGGCCCACTTCACAAATGACTAACACAGAGCTGTCATAATAACCCATCTGCTCATGTCGCACATCTCATTACAACACTAAAGGAAAAAGAGGATGTTTTGAGCGCATGTGGGCTTCCCCTACTCAAGATGATACATGAGAAAAAAATAGATTTTTGTAACAAACACGCCTAAAAAAAATGGACCTATTGTTAATGTATGGTAAATTAGTGAGAATCAATGTGTGCAAATTTTACTTGTCACTTAACTGAAATCATTTTTTTTTTTTTTTTACTCTGAACATTTTTATTAATCCTAAATAAAGTTAAAGATACAAATATGGCAATTATGGTTTCTAAATATCAGATCACAAATTTTACTGTTTATTTTATAGAAAGCATAAATACATTGATCTAACCATGGGAATGAGGAGCCACACATAGTTTTATCTGTGCTTTCTTATGTTCTTACCACAAATTTCACGGTTATTGCAGTTGCAGTTACTATGCAAGAGTTATGGTACGTTTTTGTAAGACTCCTCACAACCATTGCTACACAATCGTGTGAAAATGTATTTACAGTCTTTTTTGTTTGTTTGTTTCTCTGTAAGTTTTATGAAATTGCAAATTCTTAGAATTAATGAAGATAATACTTTGTATAGACTTTGCAAATCAATATTGTATATCCGGGGTAGATTTGGAGTCCAGGCAGGGGGTGTGGATTGTTACATAAAACGTTTAATAAACAACAGAAATTTCTAATAACCTCATATATTAATATTAGATAAATTTGCTTCCAAAGAGTATGAAATGAAAAATAAAAAATATATTTTACCATGTAAAACAAATAAATCACATATAAAATGGCACAATGATTATTAATGCCATTATACAGTGTTTCTGACAAAAAAAAATTTATCTAGCATTTTTATATTCTCAAATATTTTTTAAACATAAACATAAGAAAATGTGATTATTATTATTATCGGCTCGCATATTATACATTATTATTATTATTATTATTATTATTATCAGCTGCTAAATGCAGTAATATATTAGGGGGTCCCTGGGTTGTCCTGAGTTGACTACTCTTAGTATAAATGTTTTTTATATAAATGACACAAAGAGATTTAATTAAAGGCATTACAATATTTCCTACAGTCTTGTGTTAAGGAGGATGTATTACAAAAAAGGCCTGTGTTTGGGGGTATGTCATTCCCTGATTTCCTTTCCTGTGGTGAAAGGTGCGACATGTGACTCAATCTCATATTGCACAATCAGTCCTTCTGTGGGGTATTTAAGAGGGGAGAAAAACACAGACTGCATCAGTTTCTTGAAGAAGAAGCAACATGAAGAGCTACTACAAGCTGTGCGTTCTCGTCGCGTTGATGGCTTCTGGTTACACCAACCCAATAGCTCCATCTGCTGATGAAGGCCGAGAGAGTATTGCTGAGGTAATTTGCACACTAAAAGTACTGTTAACTAGTTTAGCTTCTCTATTAGATACAGTGTGCAAACTAACTTTTATTCTTTTCTTTTTTTCAGAATTACCTGACTAGATTGTATGGCCTGCCAAAGCAGACCTCTTCTGGTACTGAAAGACGCTCCAATGCCTTGAGTCTGAGGTTGAAAGAGATGCAGCAGTTTTTTGGACTCTCAATAACAGGGACGCTGGATGAAGAGACGATGAAAGTGATGAAGAAGCCACGCTGCGGGGTTCCAGATGTTGCGGCGTACTCCACGTTTGCAGGGGACTACAAGTGGAAAAAACATGATCTGACCTACAGGTAAGACCTGCTAACAGACTTGTTTAAGACAAGCCCGTTTAAAAAGGACTTGTAGCATTTATTTTGCTGTCTTTTTTCCCCACAGGATTGAGAACTACACCCCTGACATGTCAGAAGCAGAGGTGGATGATTCCATCAAAAGAGCCCTGCAATTGTGGGCAGACGTCACTCCTCTGAGATTCACCCGTATCTACAGTGGCACAGCTGACATCATGATCTCCTTTGTTGTTGGAGGTCAGTTTTTTAAACGAATCATTATGAGTGAGTGAGTGAATGGGTGAATGCGAGGCAAAATGTAAAGCGCTTTGGTGGCCATTGGGTCTGTGAAAGCGCTATATAAATGCAGTCCATTTACCATTTACCATTAGCAAGATGATAGTAAAAATATTACGTGAGAAAAAGTGGGATTTTTTTGTAGCAAACACGCCTAAAAATACTGGACTAAATGAGGATGTACAGTAAATGAATGTTGTATATAATATGTTTTATCAGCTGCTCAAAATAAATGTTTTATTTTTTACATACATTTTTAAGCTCGGTTTTTAAACAAATCTCCTCTTCTTTCCAGATCATCGGGATGGTTACCCCTTTGACGGACCAAATGGTTTTCTGGCTCACGCCTTCCCTCCATTCGAGGGCATCGGTGGTGATGCCCATTTTGACGATGATGAGGCGTTCTTGTACAGATCTCCTCAAGGTTCGGCTTCATTTGGAAAAGTCTCCAGTTTTTTACCAATGCACAATATAAAGACCAACTGTATTCACATTCCCACTTATCCCTCAGGCTACAATTTGTTCCTGGTTGCTGCCCATGAGTTTGGACACTCTCTAGGGCTTGAACATTCCCAGGATCCGGGTGCACTGATGTATCCCACCTACGTTTACAGAGAAATCGATACCTTCTCCCTCCCTCAAGACGATGTCAATGGAATCCAGTCTCTTTATGGTAAGATATTACAAATACTGGTGATGAAAAGACTCTGAAAGTGACGTATCTAATGATTTGACATTTTTATTGAACAGGCCCAAACCCTAATGTCAACCCTGGTGATCCAAAACCCACACCAGGAGTTACCCCAAACACATGCGATCCCAATCTGGTCCTGGACGCTGTCACCATGTTCCGTGGAGAGATTATCTTCTTCAAGGGCAGGTAAACCGAGAAAGAAATGCTTTCTTTCTGAGCTTATGATGGTTATGACGAGCAGGATCTGACCTGCTGGTGTCTCTGGCTTTATTCACAGCTTCTTCTGGCGCAGCTATTCCCTGAGCACAACCGTTGAACAACATCTCATTAAAAGCTTCTGGCCTGAGATTCCAGATCATATCGATGCAGCATTCGAGAGTCCATTGCAGGACAAAGTCTTCCTTATCAAAGGTAAAAACAAATGAATATAAAAAAACGAAACACTCTTAAAAATAAAGATTCCCAAAGGGGGTTTTCACAGTGATGCCATAGAAAAATAATTTTGGATTCCCCAAAGAACTTTTCACTGAAAAGAACCATTTTAATGATCTAAAGAACTACTATAAAAGAACCACTATAAGAACCACTATAAAGAACCTTTTGTCTATTGGAAAGGTTTCTTGAGAGTTAAAGGTTCTTCATGGAACTATAGATGCCAATAAATAACCTTTATTTTTTAGAATGAAGATGTCATATGAGAAATGAAATATAATTTGAAAATGTTGTCACACCTCAGGTGAGAAGGTCTGGGCTCTCTATGGCTATGAAATGGCACAGGGATATCCCAAGAGTCTCAGCATGTTCAATTTGCCCAAAAAAGTGAAGAAAATCGACGCAGTCCTCTACGATGAGACCAGCTACAAAATCCTGTTTTTCGTTGGCAGACAGGTTTATAGGTCAGTAAATCAGTCTGATCGAGTTAGTCTGCTCGTCTTTTTCAAGAATCTTCAAGTAACGAGAATTTATTTTGTGCAGTTATGATGAGCAAACACGCAGAATGGAGAAAGATTATCCTAAACCGTTGGAAGTTGTTTTCCCTGGAATGACAGGGAAGGTGACCGCAGCCTTCCAGAACAGAGGTAAGGGTTTTACAATATGTAACAAGAGAACATCTCCAATAAAATCCCATCCAACACTGTCTTTCATGGTCATTTTTAGGGTTCAACTATCTCTTCAGCGGATCAAAGATGTTGGAGTTTGGCTCCTACAACAACAAGCTGTTCCGTGTTCTGAACAATAATTATTTCCTGCCATGTTAATCAGTTAATGTCAGCCTGTCTGAAGGGAAATCTGAACCATCAGTATTTTAAAGTAAATTATTGAGTAAATTATTCACTTTTAACTTATTTTACTGAAAAATATGTTGATGTTATTTGTAAGTTGTCTAGTATCGTTTGAAAGAGCGTATGTCCAACAAGTTAATCTTGTGTTTTGCAATTTCAAAATAAAGATATGAGCAGTTTGATAAACAATTCAAATCTTGTTTTATTTATTATTATTTGCCTGTTTATTAATCTTGCCTGACACCAAATGTGGGAGTGTAAAGTATGGGAGACTGAAACACAGGATCGGTTATCTAATTAAAAATGATCTACAGTGTGAAAATTTACGGAAATGACGGGACAAACAAAATTCAGTTTACAAAATGTATTTTCATTTGATTTGTGATCATCTTAAGATGACAAAACATACCTGAATCATCTTATTCTCATCTCTTAAATACGTAGATATAACATCTAATATTTTTGATAATGTTTTACACACACAAACATATATACAGTCATGTGAAAAAGAAAGGACACCCTTTAGAATGGTATGATTTTACGTATCAGAACATGATAATAATCATCTGGTCGTTAGCAGGTCTTAAAATTAGGTCAATACAACCTCAGATGAACAACAACACATGACATATTACACCAGGTCATTATTTATTTAACAAAAACTAGGCCAAAATGGAAATGCCATGGGTGACAAACTAAAGTACACCCTATGATTCAATTGCTTGTTGAGCCACTTTTAGCAGCAACAAGAAATCGTTTCTATGTGACAGTATCAGTCAGGGATCAGAGGAATTTTGGCCCGCTATTCCTTACAACATTGCTTCAGTTTATTGAAGTTTGCTATACAGCTCTCTTCAAGGGATAGTTCACCCAAAAAATGAAAATCATGTCATCATTTACTCACCCTCAAGTTGTTCCAAACCTGTATGAGTTTCTTTCTTCTGTTGAACACAAAATAATATATTTTGAAGAATGTTGGCAATCAAACAGTTGATGGACCCTATTGACTTTCCCCCACATATTATGGAAGTCAATGGGGTCCATCAACTGTTTGATTGCCAACATTCTTCAAAATATATTGTGTGTTCAGTAGAAGAAAGACAATCATACAGGTTTGGAGCAACTTGAGGGTGAGTAAATGATGGACAGAATTTACATTTTTGGTTAGAATATCCCTTTAAGGTCCCGCCACAGCATTTCAGTTGGGTTGAGGGATGGGCTTTGACTTGGCCACTGCAACACCTTGATTCTTTTCTTTTTCAACAAGTCTGATGTGGATTTGCTGGTGTGCTTGGGATCATTGTCCTGTTGCATGACCCAATTTTGGCCAAGCTTTAGCTGTCGGATAGATGGCCTCTTATTTGATTCTAGAATACTTGATTCAATGACTGCAAGGTGCCCAGGTCCTGTGGCTGCAAAACAAGCCAAAAATCATCAACCCTCCATTAGCATGATGGACAGTTGGTATGAGGTGTTTGTGCTGATGTGCTGCGTTTAGTTTTCGCCTAACTTGGCACTGTGCATTATGGCCAAACATCTCCACTTTGGTCTCGTCTGTCCAAAGGACATCGTTCCAGAAATCTTGTGGTTTGTTCAGATGCAACTTTGCAAACCTAAGCCGTGCTGCCATATTCTTTTTAGAGAGAAGAAGCTTTTTCTTGGCAACCCTTCAAAACATGCCATACTTGTCTTTTTCTAATTGTACATTTAACATGTTAACTGAGGCCTGTAGAGTCGGAGGTGTAATTCTTGGGTGTTTTGCGATTTCTCTGAGCATTGCACAGTCTGACCTTGGGGTGAATTTGCTGGGACGTCCACTTCTGGGAAGATTGGCAACTGTCTTAAATGTTTTCCACTTGTGAATAATCTTCCTTACTGTAGAATAATTGACTTGGCTGTATAACTCTTACCAGATTGATGGCAGCAACTATTGCTTCTCTAAGATCATTGCTGATGTCTTTCCTCCTTGGCATGTGTTAACACACACCTAAAGGCTCCCAACCACCAAACTGCCAAAACTTTTGCGTTTGGTCACGTTTGCTGATGATCAATTAATCAAAGGCATTTGATTAGCTGCGCCTGACTGCTCCTTTTCCTCTTAATTCCTATAGAAGCAATAAGGGTGTACTTAGTTTGTCACCCATGGCTTTTCTCTTTTGGCCTAGTTTTTATTAATTCAATAATGACACGGTGTAATATGTCATGTGTTGTTGTTCATCTGAGTTTGTTGTTACCTAATTTTAAAACCTGTCCTGATGCACAAAACCATAGAATTCAAAAGGGTGTGCTATGCTGTATGTGTTGTGTTGGTGTGTGTGTGTGTGTGTGTGTGTGTGTGTATAACATTAAAAATGTCTATACAACATACACTGTTCCTTATATAGTCACATTTTTTTAAATTAAAATCTTGTCATGCCCATGTTATTTGTTAACATAAAGGAGGAAGCATTTCCTACACACCAAAAAAAAAAAAAAAAGCCTGTTTGAGACAAGAACAAATGGCATATCAACTGTTTTCAAGGGCAATGTCAATGTAACATTAATTTAAAGAGAGCTTATATTGTTTCCTGCAACATTCTTCCTATTTCTATGTCACTCAAATCCAGAATCTCCACTTTGGTGTCCTACTGACTCATTTGAGCCTCCACCTATTCCATGTTCTATTTCCACCACCCATAATTTTCTATGTAGCTCATGTCTATCCAAGAGATTTTTTTTCCTCCTGCCAGGCTGTTTTTGTAAATAAGAATTCATTCTTAAAGGGAAAGTCCACCCAAAAATGAAAATTCTGTCATCATTTAGGCTACTCACCCTCAAGTTGTTCTAAACCTGTATGAAAAGAAATACTATGGCAGGTTCAGTTAACTGTTTGGTTACCAGCACTCTTGAAAATATCTTCTTTTGTGCTCAACATATGAAAGAAATTCATACGGGTTTGGAACAACTTGAGGTTGAGAAAATAATGAAAGAATTTTTCTTTTTGGCTAAACTATACCGGTCAGGGAAAGTGTTAAGTTAACTTCTGAAGGCATGTTTCTGCAATTCTTCACAGTTGGCGTCCCGCTTGTTTAGTGATTGGCATATATTTAAGTCTGTTCCCAACACATAACTTCATAAGTCTTCACAAGAATTGAAATATTCTGCACGAGTCAAATGGACCACTTTCATTATAAAATATTACTCATTCGTCTGACAATAAAGAGTGACAATGATTGCCATTACCTGCAGATCTTTCACAACACCCCAAGCATAGCTAGCTCTCTCTTTGCACATACACACATACATACCAAGCTTACTTCTCAAAATTGGGGATTTCCAATTGATTTATTTTGTTCTAAAATGAAGCAAATTGCAATTAGTACAAACGAACAGAAACCCTAATCTTAAAAAAAACTTTTACTAAAAATAAAAAGCAAAAGTGATGATTCCCATACTCAGAATTTGTGCTCTGCATTTCATCCATCCAAGTGCACACACGCACCCAGAGAAGTTGGCAGTAATTTTTGCTGCGGCAAGCCCGGGGAGCAATTGGGGGTTATGTGCCTTGCTCAAGGACACCTCAGTTGTGGGTAATGAGGGAGAGAGCGCTGTGCTGTTCATTCACTCCCCTCACCTTCATTTCCTGCCGGTACTCAGACTTGAACCTGTGACCCTCAGGTTACAAGTCCAACTCTCTAACCATTAGGCCATTTAATTTATATATTATTTTTATCCTACCTAGGAGATAAAAGTATAACTTAGCTAATTTATAATTTATGCTGCAACTGTATATTTAACAAAACGCATACATTTAAGGAAAATAAAAATTGTTAAAACTTTACTTTACATTAAGTAAAATTAATGTATTGTTACGTTCCCTAACCGTCTAGGGGTCGGAAGGAGAAGTAACAAAGGAAAGAAAACGTAAAATTAACATAAAAAAAAGGCGAGAACACACTTCAATTCCTCTGTCCCAGAGTGAAGACCACACTAGATGATATAAGAATCAAAGAAAGGATTTTATTTACAATAGCAAAGTAAAAGACAAAACACAGGTAACTGGGAGCAATGGCTCAGGGGAGAGCAAGGCCCAAAATAACAAACAAAACAGCCCTCTGCCTAATTTAGGAGGAATCCTAAATAACCTAAGATTAAAGAAAAAGAAATGAACGACATAAACTTCCCTCAACTCCCTCGCTATATCAAAAACAGGAACAAAAACAGTATTAAAGAAAAAAGGCACTCACCCCCTAAAGCGTCCCCCTAACAAAAGAGCTAAACAGATTAATAACAAAATAACTTCTGGTTGATTTCGTAGTGAGAAGATCTCAAAGTACCAGCCACTGCTGAACTCAGTTAGCCACCGCTAACTCACAAGTTTAGTCTCACTATCAGACAAACGTATCACAGACGCAAACAGCGTTCAATCTGGAGCAGGGGAGAAGTGTGTCTTTCTCTGCAACACTGGACTGTACCCTTATACTCTCCGTCTCAGGCACACTCACAAACGAAATACAGGTGCTGATGATTAGGCCTGAGAATGAGTAGAGAGAAAGAGAGACAGCAAGCAAACAAAAACACAGGACACACAACCATGCCCACACAGTCATCAATGATCATAATAACAAATAAATGAATGAATACGTCCTTGGACGTTACACTAGATAAATAAATAAATGAATACGTCCCATGGGACGTAACAGTATTTATGTATTAATGTAAAATGTATTTATTGATATTATTTAGTTATTTTAAGTTGAATAGCAATCCAGTAAAGCTTGTAAAGCATTTAAAAAAATAAATGTAACCACATATTATTACCATGTTGCCCTTGTTTTTGTTTATAATACATAGAAGCGCTTAGAAATGTTGCCGTTAAATAAAGCCATGGAGAAAAGAAATAATACAAATATCTGGGCGAGGAGAAAAAGGCTGTGTCAGGAAAGTTGAAATTCCTGTAATTATTGTCAGTCTGTCAGTTTGATGGCTTACTCACAGAAGTTTGTGGCTGATAATTTGACCCGTAGCTCAACACCTCACAGTTTTAAGAGTATATAAGCCTCCATCAGACGCTTCCAATCAGAAGAGAAGCTGAAGATCGTAAGAAGCAACTCACAACATGAGGAGGATTCACCGCCAGCTGGGTTTTCTTGCAAGCCTGGTGCTTGTTATTCACGCAGGACCGATTGCACAGCCTGTTGTTGATTATGGAATTGCAGAGGTTTGGGGTTTATTTATGTGTGTGTGTATATATATATATAGCCTATATATATATATATTTGTTTTTTCTTTAATCATAGGCCTAATTCTTCCAATGATTCTGTTTTTGTATTCTTTAGAATTACCTGAAGAGCTTCTACAAATTGGAATATAATCGTCCTAATCTTTCAGGCATCAGAGACCCGAATCCACTGCCTGATAAATTGAAAGAGATGCAGAAGTTTTTTAGGCTTAAGGTCACTGGAACGCTGGACAAAGAAACACTGGCGGTGATGAAGAAGCCCCGCTGTGGAGTTCCAGATGTCGCTGCGTACTCCACGTTTGGAGACAATCCCAAATGGCAGACCAACAAGCTCACATACAGGTGTGTATAATATCAGTTCTCTTGGTGTCACAGAAAAAAGAGAAGCAGAAACCGACTGTGGTCCTTTTCCTCAAGGATTGAGAACTACACCCATGACATGACAGTAGCGGAGGTGGATGATTCCATCAGAAGAGCCCTGCAAGTGTGGGCAGACGTCACTCCTCTGAGATTCACCCGTATCTACAAAGGCACAGCTGACATCATGATCTCCTTTGCCACAAAAAGTATGTTTCCTCTATCCATTTATGTATGTTTATATTTTGTTTATTAACCATGTGCTTCTCATTTTGATGAATTCTTTTAAACTTGGTGATATTTTATGAATAACTTGAGGATCCTAAGTTACTGTTGGAATAATAATATATGAAACTTTGTTAATTGAAAATTAACATTATATGAACAATGCTCAATAAAATAATTATGGCAGCAAGTTGTCATGAACTGCTCCAAGACTTCAGGTTGAGTTCGGACAAAGGTTTCTGGGAAAAGTAGTCCTAGCAAAGACCGAAGGAGTGCCCTCTGGTGGAAATCAAGGGCACTCCAGCTGGTGCACTGTAAAAATGATTGTTGTTTTAACTCAAAAAAGTAAGTTACCTGTTCGCATTAAATTTTTTAGTTCATTGGAATAAAAAAATTGAGTTAATACAATGTAAGAGATGGTTTATTCAACAGAAACACAAACATATTATGTTATCTGAAGCACGTTATTTATCTTATCAAATTAATATTCATTATTAATGAGATGATTTGACAAAAGAAAAAAGTTGTGATAACAAATCATGAAAATATTTTTTAAAGTGTGGATGTAGCACTAGGGCTGTGAATCTTTGGGCAGTTTAATTCACTGGGTTTCTGATTAAATTCAAAAATTCAAATTTTACAAATTCAGAACAGTTCAATTCGATTCTATGCACAATTCCTTTGTTTAATATATGTATAGAATTCTGTTCTTATTTGCCATAATGTATAAACTAGACAAACTATTTTGGTCTGTTTATTCCAACAAAAGTAAAAATATCAAAACTAATATAACCTGATTGCCTTTTATTTTACCTGAAGGCCATGTATGCACAGAAAACCAAAATCATGCTTTGTGCTCACCATCGATACTAACAAAATAACGCAGTTTTATCTTAGATTAAATAATGGTGAAGTTTCCATTTAATTAAGGTTTTTTCATTTTTATTTCGGAAATCTGGAAAATGTTTCAATGAATGGAACAAAAAAACGTGATCGATTATTGGCCAACATAAACGATTCAAGATTTAAAAGTCATAAGAAAACGAATGAATCGTTAATTGCAAACGAAATGTCTTTCAAAATAAAGCCCAGGTTCCTTTGATTTCTAAAATCTAATTATATTAAAAATTAAATTTAAAGCCAAACTCTTTCCTACAGATCATGGTGATGGTATGGCATTGGCATTTGATGGACCACAAGGCATTTTGGCTCATGCTTTCTTTCCCTCATCTGGAATTGGTGGAGATGCACATTTCGATGATGATGAGGTTTTCACTTTCCGCTTACCACGTGCTAAATGTAATTTATTTATTTTTTTTATTTTTTTGTGCATTAAGTTTTGCTAAATGTAGTTTTCAGAGATTCATCTTCATCACCACTTTGATTTCAAGTAAAAATCAAAAGTGGCAATTAAGTGTTTTAACTTGTACCTAATCTGTTCTACCTAATTTCTCTGCAGGTTATGTCCTGTTCTTGGTGGCTGCCCATGAATTTGGTCACTCTTTGGGTCTTTCTCATTCCGAAGTTCCTGGCGCTCTGATGTTTCCCACATACAGCTTCAGCGATCCGGGTCGCTTCTCTCTGCCCTCTGATGACATCAGAGGGATTCAGTCGCTCTATGGTTATATGATCTTCAAGAGTACATCTATAATGTTTGAGTGAAACATATTCAGTCATTTACCATGTGGTATTTCCTTCAGGCCCAAACAGAAACAGAATCCTCATCCAACCTGAACCAAACTTACCAACGGCTCCTAATGCTTGTGACCCTAACCTGATCTTTGATGCAGTTACAACTTTTAGGGGAGAAACAATGTTCTTCAAGGACAGGTAATGCACAAAAACAAATACAAATCCTGTTTATACAGTATACACTTATACACTTATATTGGCACCCTTGGTAAATATGAGCAAAGGTGGCTGTGAAAATAAATCTGCATTGTTTATCCTTTTGATTTTTTATTAAAAAAAATCATACAATTCTAACCTTTTTTATTGAAGTAAAAAATAAAAAAACTCACATTATGGGGGGAAATAATGTGGGGGGAAACTCACATTATGAAATAAATGTTTTTCTCTAGTTCACGTTTACCACAATTATTGGCACCCAATTATTGCAACATAATTTTGCCAAGATAACAGCTATGAGTCTTATCTAATAATGCCTGATGAGTTTGGAGAACACCTGACGAGAGATCAGAGGTCATTCCTCCATACAGAATCTCTCCAGATCCTTCAGATTCCCAGCTCCATGTTGGTGCTTCTTCTCTTCAGTTCACTCCACTCATTTTCTATAGGGTTCAGGTCAGGGGACTGGGACTGGGACAGGAGCTTAATTTTGTGCTAAGTGACACATTTTTGAGTTGATTTTGATGTTTGTTATGGATCGTTGTCCTGATGGAAGATCCAACTATGGTCCATTATAAGATTTTTAGCAGATGCTGTCAGGTTTTATTTTTTTATCTGTTGGTATTTGCTAGAATCCATGATACCATAAATCTGAACAAGATGTCCAGGAACTCCAGCTAAAAAAACAGCCCCACAACATTAAAGATCCAGCAGTATATTTAACCATGGGCATGGGGTACTTTTTATCCTTGTTTGGACTAAACCCATCAGGGGGTTTGCTGCCGAAAAGCTCTTTCTTTAGTTTCATCTGACCATAGAACCAGCTCCCTTTTGAAGTTCCAGATATTTTACTCATAAGAATTTCTAGGGGTGCCAATAATTGTGGCCAACATGTACTGAAGAAAAACATTTATTTCATAATGTAAGTCCCCCCACTTTCAACTGTTTTACTTCAATTAAAGGTTCGAAAAACATTTTTTTTAATGAAAGATCAAAAGGATAAACAATGCAGATTTATTTTCACAGCCGCCTTTGCTCATATTTACCAAGGGTGCCGTTATTAGTGGAGGACACTGTACATTATAGATATATATATATATATATATATATATATATATATACATAAAATACTTAAATGATAGACTTCATGTGCCTCTGTGCAGCTTTGTCTGGCGTAGTTCTCCGAGCGGAAGTGTGACGAAACATCTAATCAGTAATTTGTGGCCCAACGCCCCGGATAATATAGATGCTGCTTACGAGGATCCAGTGGAAGAAATACTTTTCCTATTCAAAGGTATTTTCTCAATCAATCTGGGAATGCTGAAACCCCAATCACACTTACAATCTCTGTAAAATCATGTCTGATGAAGGCCTTGACAATGGCCGAAATATCACACGGTTTTAATCAATTAAGTTGGATTTCTTCAAGAGTGAGTGTTGCACTTTTTTCCAATTTAAAATCTCTGTAAAATCCTCAGGAAAAAAACACAAAAAAAACTTATGGCCTGTATTTATTTATAGGTAAACAAGTCTGGGCTTTTAAAAGCAACAATGTTGAGCCGGGCTATCCCAAGCCTCTCAGCAGCTTTGGTCTGCCACCATCTGTGACAAAAGTCAGTGCTGCCGTCCACGACAAAAACTCTGGAAAAACACTGCTCTTCTTTGACATATATTACTATAGGTGGGTCAAGTGCTGTATCACAAACAAAAGCCCTTAAAATTTGCTCCGAAAAGACATAAGAATGTATAATTTCCCTTTTTTGGTAGCTATAATGAGATGATGAAGAAGATGGATGGAAATCCCAAACGACTGGCCGATGGATTTCCAGCAGTGACTGGAGAGGTTACAGCAGCCCATCTGATCGACGGTAGGTGTTTCTAACTTCCTTTTCTACAGATCTCTAACAATACAAAAGACTCACTGACTTCTTTTCTTCCAGATAACATTTATCTCTTCAGTGGGACAAATGTGTATGAGTTCAGCAACAGCAGCAGGAAGCTCCTCCGTGTGTTGAAGAACAAAAACTTCCTGTCCTGTTAGTCGAGTTGCCCCGAAACAAGAAATGAATGAGTGTAACTACAGTACTTACTTAAATGCATTTGCATAGGAAACAGTTCAAATTAATGAATTGTTCATTGTATTTCTGCAATCTGCTGGTCAAAATTGTCACTGGACTTCTATTTTACTCTTGTTAACCTTTTAAAAGAATGTGTATTTACTATTTATATAATAATGTTTAAGGTTATTGATTATTTTCAAATAAACTAAAGTGACTAATTCAATTGAAGAGCATGTGAGCATGATTATTTTGGAAGCAAGAATTGTTTTTGGCAGGGAAATACTTTTAACATTAACTCAGAGTCTTTCCGTCTCAGATAATAGTAAACCAATATATTATAATTGAAATTATTAAACTTGGTAAAAACTGACAGATCAAACCATCTAAACACCCAACAATAAATACACCATTTTATAAAAGACTAGATCAGCAAATCACAGCATGTTTTGCGATTGATGAGCTTCTGAGAAATGGATGACTATGTTTCTTGTCACTACCATGTGTTTGTAAAATATACAGTAAATGTGCCCAGTAGTTAGGTAGAAATGTAAAAACACAAAGTCTTAAAAAAAAAAGCTTGCTTCTGGCTATTACTTTAAACATTTGACTACTTGTCATGTTGATTAAAAAATGTAAAAAAAAAAAAAAAAAAAAAATTCTTGATCCTTTTTTTTATGGAAACTCGAAAGAATAGCATTTCTTTGAAACAGAAATCTTTTGTAACATTACAACATTGATGGAGTACTCGAGTCCTGGACTCGGACTCGAGTCCGACTTGAGTCCTTATTCGAGTCCGACTCGAGACTCCATTCTCTGGACTCGTGACTCGACTTGGACTCGGCCTCGAGAATATATAAAATCGGACTTGAGCATTCATCAAATGAATGACGTTGTTTCTGACTAAATAGGTTATAAAAATTTGATATAAGATGTTACACTTTTCCTGTTTCTGCAGGACACCCGTTGTGATCTATTTTTTCCCTCACAGACACTGCTACTGCTCGCTCTTCTTGCTTGACAACACACTCACTGACGTCACTCACTTTACGCTGCATTCTCGTGCATTCTCCTATGGTTACTTCCGGTTTCTGGACTGGCTGCAGTAACATGTCTCTGTCCATGCGGGGGCGCTCGCAGGCGAGTGCAGAATGAATGGGAGTCTATGGGGTTTCACAGAAATTTTTTTAGGTACTTTTTTGTCAAGTAATTTGGGATTTTTTGGGATATACTAACTTTTCATTATGTGACATGTTGGCTGTACTTAATTTGTATCAGAGCCCATCTCAGATACTCATTTACTGTGAGGACACTTTGTATTGTAATATCCACAATAGTTTAATGATTGTTCTTCAAAAGTATTGTTCAAGGTATTTGTCACGGCTGGTAGATCCGCTGTCTCATTCTGGTCTGATGTGTTTGTGTATGTGAGTGGGTCTCGTACACAGATTGTTTCATGTGGGCGTTACCGCTGATTGTCATTATCAGCGGCAGCTGCAAATCATCTACCAGCCTATTTAATGCCCTGTCTTTCGTCTCTTGTTTGTCAGATCGTTGTTTGAGGTTTTCCCGTGTTCGTGCTTGTTCCTGTGTTCCTCGTGTTTCCTTGTTTTTCTGGATACGGATTACTTCACTCCCGTTCTCACCTGGTTCACCGTCACCGTCTTCAGTCATCTCCGGATTGCCCATCTCAGCCCCTGCGTCACACTCTCCTGCTGTCTGTGTTCCTGGTCTGACTCTCTCCGCCTCTGAGTGACTGCCTGCTTGCGCTTAGTTTACATTCTGACATTTGACTGTCCCGAGATTCCTGAGTGAACCATTGTTAATAAACACCTTTGCACTTGCTATTGCTTCCAGCCTGTTTATCATAACAGAACGATCTGACCAGCTATGGAAGCATCAAGTATAACATCGGTTGAAGAGTTTATCAATCATAGCATCTCCCGGATGGATCAGCAGCAGGAGAGCATCTCTAACACCGGACGCGCTGTCCAAGCGCTCGTGACGCAGGTGTCCGAGCTCACCCAGCAGATCCAACAGCTTAGCATTCCTGCTGCGCCGCCCACACCGCCTATTTTCCCTGACGCACCAGAACCTAGGAGTCCACCAGATCCTCGCCTACCGGTTCCTGAGAGTTATGCCGGTGAGCCCAGTTTCTGTAGAGCATTTCTCACCAGATGCGTTTCTCTCTGCAGACCAAGACGTTTGAGACGGAGGAGTCCAAGGTGGCCTTCGTACTGAGGTTGCTGACGGGACGAGTGGCTTTGTGGGGAACGGCGGTGTGGGAGAACCAGGACCAATGCGGCCCCTCGTTCCACGCACTGGCCGCCGAAATGAAGAGGGCCTTCGACCGAGCTGTAGCCGGCAAGGAGGCCGCAAGAAGACTCGTGGATCTCAAACAAGGGGACGCTTCAGTAGCTGACTATTCCATTGCGTTCCGCACGCTGGCGGCCGAGTGCAAGTGGAACGAGGAGGCGCAGTGGGATATGTTCCTGCATGGGCTGGCCGACCAGGTTCAAAGGGAGATCTACCTACTGGACCTGCCTCCTAGACTCAACGGTCTCATCGACCTGGCGCTGCGGGTTGATGCCGGTCTCGGTCGTCTCAATCAGAGTTTCCATCCCACTCGATCTCCCAGAGACGCTAGACTTCGAGACAGCGGGGAGGAGAACTCGGTCGGTCCTGTCCTCGATCATGAGCCCATGCAGGTGGGGAGAGCTCTGCTTTCCCAGGAGGAGAGAGAAAGGCGGCGGTCCCATGGACTTTGCCTCTACTGCGGTGGCTCTGGACACTTTCTACGCTCTTGTCCGGTAAAAGAGCAAGCCTGATAGTAAAGTTGAGGATACTATCGGGTGGGATCGCCGCCGGGAAGTCCTCACCATCCACTCTCCTTCCGGTTGGGCTGAGATGGGCCAACAGCACGTACACCTGTCAAGCACTTCTGGACTCTGGAGCGGAGAGTAATTTCATGGACCTACATCTTGCACACGAATTACACCTCCCCATCACGTCTCTCTCTCATCAGATCTCCATCAGTGCTCTTAATGGTCAAAAACTCCCCAACATCTCACTCACCACTGACCCTATAACCCTCGTCACCTCCGGCAACCACACGGAGACTATCACTTTCCTCCTTATGGACTCCCCTGTCACACCAATTGTATTGGGTCATCCGTGGCTTGTAAAGCACAATCCTCGGGTGGATTGGGGCTCCAACTCCATTTCCATGTGGAGCGAGTCCTGCCACGAGTCTTGTCTTGTGTCTGCCTGTCCGTCTGTTTCTAGTTCTGTGTTTCAGGAGAAGGCAGATCTGTCAAACGTGCCCGCGGAGTATCTGGACCTGAAGGAAGTGTTCAGTAAGTCTCGTGCTGCTTCTCTCCCTCCACATCGTCCCTATGACTATGCTATAGATTTACTACCAGGTAAGTCTCTGTCTAAAGGCAAGCTTTACTCTCTTTCTGTCCCTGAGAAGGAGGCCATGGATAAATATATTTCTGATTCTCTAGCGACGGGGTTCATCAGACCTTCCTCTTCTCCTGCGGGGGCGGGATTCTTTTTTGTTGGAAAGAGGGATAGTTTTCTGTGACCTTGTATTGATTACCGAGAGCTGAACAACATCACGGTAAAGAATACTTATCCTTTGCCATTGATGTCTTCAGCTTGCAGGGAGCATCCATTTTCACAAAATTGGATTTACGTAACGCCTATCATTTTGTTTCGCATCAGGAAGGGGGGTGAATGGAAAACCGCGTTTAACACTCCCAGGGGGCATTTTGAATACTTGGTTATGCCGTTCGGTCTTTCCAACTCCCCAGCAGTTTTCCAGGCACTCGTCAATGACGTGTTGAGAGACATGGTAGATCAGTTCATATATGTTTACCTGGATGACATATTGATTTTTTCTTAGTCTCTCCAGGAACACGTTCAACACGTCACACGAGTGCTTCAGAGGTTGCTAGAGAATGGTCTGTTTGTCAAGGCGGAGAAATGAGTTTTTCATGCACAGTCTGTTTCTTTCTGAGGGAGTGCGTATGGATCCTGACAAGGTTAAGGCTGTGATAGATTGGCCAAGTCCAGATTCCCGTAAGGCCCTACAGCGGTTTCTGGGGTTCGCCAATTTCTCTCGGCGGTTCATTCGCAATTTCAGCCAACTAGCCGCACCTCTGACCGCCTTGACCTCCCAGACCATAACGACGTTCAGGTGGTCTGATACAGCCGAGGCTGTATTTACCAACCTAAAGAGCTTCGTTTCGGCTCCCATCCTAGTCGCCCCTGATCCCACACGTCAGTTCGTGGTGGAGGTCGACGCGTCAGAGGTGGGGGTAGGTGCAGTTATTTCCCAACGCGCTTCCTCAGACGACAAGATGCATCCTTGTGCGTTTTTCTCCCATCGTTTATCACCTGAATTTGGACTGTCCTGAGATTCCTGAGTGAACCATTGTTAATAAACACCTTTGCACTTGCTATTGCTTCCAGCCTGTTTATCATAACAGTATTATTCAGTATTCTTGAAACAAATAGTAGACTACTTGACAGGCTACTCTACAGCAGTGAATCAAGGATGAGCCTAAAACATGGTCATGCATCCAAAATGGTAAGAAGATTTTTTAAAATCTTTTATAGATTTGATAATATGTGCATGGCTTAATCTTAAAATTATATTCTTATTCTTAACATGATCATGTTTCACGTTGTGGTCCTGGGGGTGGCCACTTTCATCAGAAGAAGTGAGCTAGCTTCTAAGCGAATTCTGAACAGACCGCCACTGCAGACCTATTTGCGTAATCACGAAGGTAGGCTAATGGCTGAATCGGAGTTTATAAGCAAAATCACGGGAATCAATAGCCTAATACAGCCCAGTTGTGCTAAAATAAATATCACGAGACGTCCATCATCAGATGAATGATATGGAAAAGTTAAGTTAGAGCCGCTAAAGCCAGCTACTACCCATGCGAACATGAACACTAAGCTTTTCTCTCCAAAAATATAGCCTAAAACTTATCTTAAAGTTTTAGGCTTATCTTAAGTAATCTACAGTATTTCGTTGTCACTCTGCCTCTCCAAATGCAAAACTGACATTAACAAAATGCAATAACACCTGAAAAAGTACTTGGGTGTGTGTTTTATTTTATATTTACCGTTCAATAATGCAATCGCTGCTGTCTGTCCCATAGAAGAACATGACAGCCAGCGTATGTTTTGGAACTATTGGGGCTTACATGAACCACGTGACAGCCATAGCGGCAACATCAAAGAGTGTCGCAACTCTATCTCTCATCCAATGGCGCGGGCGCCTCCAACGTGTGCGCCAATGAGCTAGCATTACGTCATACACGTCAGAGCCCATAAAAGCCATAAAAGCCAAGGGAATTTTTTACCAATCTCAAGTTGCATCAATAGCAGAGAAGAAAGAACGCGAAATTTAAAAATACTACTGTTATTGTGTCACTAAATGTATTTTTTTTTATAGTTTTTCAGTGTAGTTGTTTAAAGCACAAATATGTTGTTTATTTATACAGATAGCGCATATTTTAAATTTTTATCTGACGGTTTCGGAGTTGTGAGATCCAGGCGATTACCGGCCGCTCAGCGCTCATGTACCCCGCCTGGAACAGCCTTACCTCGGCTAGTGCTTCTGACATTTACCGCTGGCTGATGTCTCTAGTCTAGTGGTTAAACATGAGATATAATTCGTCTTGTGTAGGGTATATCTAACGGGCGATTGTAGCAATGTTCAGGGAAGAAGGAGGCGGGAACCGGCGGACAATCAAATCCTCACGGAACTGCTGGCTACCCAAAATAAAATATAACTACCTGCCAGCAGCCCCTCACGGACGACTGCTGACTACCAAAATAAAATAAAACAAAACACAAACAAAAGCAGGCCTGTTCCTCTCTCGATCGTCCACCCCGTCGCTCCCCCTTTATGCTTCCGCTCCTCCGTGAGAGATGCGAGACCGGTGTGCTTCACAGGTGCTGCTCATTAGCAATCGCACCACCGGCCTCGCGACGTTCTCTCACGTCAGGTAGTTCCCACATGAGTTCCCACAACGCGCTGTCAACTGGTCCCCCACCAGCTGGGCGATCTCCTCCGCGGTGCCTGGCGATGACGCTGGGTAGCCCTTGGTGGACGGCTCGACACTCCTCCGCCGCCCGGTGGACGGCGACGGCTCCTAGGGGTCTAGGGCAGACGGTAGGAGTCCCCGCTCCCTGCTCCTCCCCTTTTCTGGTGGACGGCAGCAGGCTCCGGCCCACGGCGAGCGGTGGCGACTCCCCCGCTCCCTCCCGGACGGCAGCCGCCCCTCCAACTCCCAGGCGGCCGGCAGCGAGCTCGACCGTCCCCCCGGCAACTCACTCCAGCGCACCGCCTCGAGCGTACATGGCCGTGAGTCCGGCGACTCGCGCACCATGCTCGATGACACCGCGGATTCCCCACAGCGGCGAGGACTCTCTGACAGCGCGTTCCTCCCTCTTCCCGGGTTTCGGCACCAGTGTAGCAATGTTCAGGGAAGAAGGAGGCGGGAACCGGCGGACAATCAAAATAAAACTTTATTTAAATGAAATAAACACAATACCTGCCAGCAGTCCCTCACGGAACTGCTGGCTACCCAAAATAAAATATAACAACCTGCCAGCAGCCCCTCACGGACGACTGCTGACTACCAAAATAAAATAAAACAAAACACAAACAAAAGCAGGCCTGTTCCTCTCTCGATCATCCACCCCGTCGCTCCCCCTTTATGCTTCCGCTCCTCCGTGAGAGATGCGAGACCGGTGTGCTTCACAGGTGCTGCTCATTAGCAATCGCACCACCGGCCTCGCGACGTTCTCTCACGTCCTGCTCACCACAGCGATCTTTGATCTCATTAATCTATAATTTGTTCCCCAGCAAATCGTTTTGGCTGAGGGCAAAGTTTAGTTTCATAACTTTATATAAATTATTTAGGCTATTTATCTTTAACGTTGTAGCCTGCAGACTTATGTTTGACTGAATCATTTAACTTACTTTATTTATTGACTTGTATAGCTTCTTATACCTTTTAGGCTACTTATACTTTTATAATGGCTATTATTGACCACTAAAACTGAAATGTAACAAAAAGAGACAGGGTTGTATCATTTTATTTGATATAGCCTATGTAAGAATATTTTAATATATAAAACGTTCAAAAGCTCATTTAACTAAGTTAAAATTACAATAAAGAACAATAGACTGTTTTTGATTCATGTGTATATTTTTCTAGATAATTAATGAAGTACATTTACATACCTTTCTGATAACAGCTAAATGAGGACACATTTAAGGTCTTGGGTGTTTTTAGGGCTCTACAAAGTATACACCTTTTTTTTTTATGTTATGTTTTTATGTTTAACCGGCACCCAATCACACCAGAGGTTCTAAACACAAGGTAGTATCTGAGACAGATTGCTTTGAATCAGATATTCTGAATGTTGAAATGGACACGAATAGCAAAGGGGACTGTTCTACATGTAAAGGTGATTGTTTGTAGTATGAACTATAAGTGTAACGTTGGGTCAGGAATGAAGCAGAGAGTGAATCCAATCGCAAGCACTTTATTAACTAAACAAACAGGTAATCCAGGGTAAACGACAAACAAAGAAACTTAGACCAGGAACTCACAACACGAACATGGAACTCAGCTACAAGCAACAACCAACAACTGAAGCACAGAGGTTTAAATACACAGACAAACAAGCTAAACAAGATAACAAGGGGGCGTGGTATACATGAACACAAACGAGGAGCGGGAAAACAGGGAACAGGACTGAACCAAGTGCACAACGACAGGGGGAACACAGACAGACATCACAACATAGCCCCCCCTCTATGGGCGGCTCCCGACGCCCAACAAAACAGGACACAAGACAGTTCAAGAGGGTGGTGGAGCGGAGGCGGTCCCGGGGGAGGGATGGAGGGCCAGGTCCGCGCAGGGAACGGGACCAGGGCCTTGCAATGGCGGACCTGGGCCATGGAACGTGGGCGGAGCTGGACGTGCAGGCGGCCAGGGCGGAGCAGGATGAACAGGCTGCCAGGGTGGAGCTGGCAGTACCGGTGGCCAGGGTGGAGCAGACCCCTCGGGCGGCCATGGCGGTGAAGACCCCTCGGGCGGCCACGGCGGTGAAGACCCCTCGGGCGGCCACGGCGGGTACCTACTGCCCCCCCCAAATTTTCTTGGGGGTAGCTATGGGGTCATAGGCTGGAACAGGCGCCGGCTCGGGAACAGGAACAGACCGCGTCTCAGGAACAGATCGCGGCTCAGGAACAGACACCGGCTCAGGAACAGACACCGGCTCAGGAACAGACACCAGAACCGTAACAGCCACAAGGACAGACACAAACACAGAAACAAACATTGGTTCAGGAACTGGCTCCGGCTCAGGAACAGCAGACACTGGCTCCGGCTCAGGAACAGCAGACACTGGCTCCGGCTCAGGAACAGCAGACACTGGCTCCGGCTCAGGAACAGCAGACACTGGCTCCGGCTCAGGAACAGCAGACACTGGCTCCGGCTCAGGAACAGCAGACACTGGCTCCGGCTCAGGAACAGCAGACACTGGCTCCGGCTCAGGAACAGCAGACACTGGCTCCGGCTCAGGAACAGCAGACACTGGCTCAAGTGTGTGCACAGCCCACACACACCACATGGCTGTGGCCATAATGGCCAGTGTTGCGGTCACTGAGGGGTCAGGCATAGCGGTGGCGTGAACAGTCTCTGGCTGAGCAGACCTGACGTGAACGGTCTCTGGCTGGGAAGACGTGACGTGAACGGTTTCTGGCTGGGCAGACGTGACGTGAACGGTCTCTGGCTGGGAAGACGTGACGTGAACGGTCTCTGGCTGGGCAGACGTGACGTGAACGGTCTCTGGCTGGGCAGACGTGACGTGAACGGTCTCTGGCTGGGCAGACGTGACGTGAACGGTCTCTGGCTGGGCAGACGTGACGTGAACAGTCTCTGGCTGGGCGTGGCTGACGTGA